TGTCTCTACTAAAAATTAGCCAGGCATGGTGCCATGCACCTGTAATCCCAGCTACTTGGGAGGCTGAGGCAGGAGAATGGCTTGAACCCGGGAGGCAGAGGTTGCAGTGAGTTGAGATCGTGCCACTGCACCCCAGCCTGGGCCACAGAGCAAGACTCTGTCTCAAAACAAAAACAAAAACAAAAACAAACAAACAAACAAAATATATATATATATATGAATTAGATGATACCTAATTGAGACTGGTAATTAAAGCCAGACTTGAAAACCAACTCCCTTGAAACAAGCTAAGAAACAAAAAAGTCTCCTTCATGAAGTGTCCCTTAATTCCCCTCAATGAAGACAAGATATCTTCATCCAAAAATCATACCTTTTTTTCTGTGCCTTTCTTCTGGCATTTATCACATTTTACCTTGTATTTTGGTCATATGCTTTCCTCATCTCCTTTACTAGATTATGAATTATTTGATAGTCTATGAAGAGAATATACTCAGCTCCAGGGTCCCAGAAAGATTCATTTTCCAGGGTAGCTTAAATCTTAGCTCTCATTAAAAAAACAAAAACAAGTCCGGGCCCGATGGCTCACGCCTGTAATCCCAGCACTTTGGGAGGCTGAGGCAGGTGGAGCACCTGAGACCAGCCTGACCAACATGGTGAAACCCCCATCTCTACTAAAAATACAAAAATCAGCTGGGTGTTGTGGTGTGGGCCTGTAGTCCCAGCTACTCAGGAGGCTGAGACAGGAGAATGGCTTGAACCCGGGAGGTGGAGGTTGCAGTAAGCCGAGATTGCGCCACTGCACTCCAGCCTGGGCAACAGGGTGAGATTCCATCTCAAAAAGAAATAAATAAACCAAAAAATAAAAAACAAAAACCGGCCGGGCGCGGTGGCTCAAGCCTGTAATCCCAGCACTTTGGGAGGCCGAGACGGGCGGATCACGAGGTCAGGAGATCGAGACCATCCTGGCTAACACGGTGAAACCCCGTCTCTACTAAAAAATACAAAAAGCTAGCCGGGCGCGGTGGCGGGCGCCTGTAGTCCCAACTACTCGGGAGGCTGAGGCAGGAGAATGGCGTGAACCCGGGAGGCGGAGCTTGCAGTGAGCTGAGATCCGGCCACTGCACTCCAGCCTGGGCGGCAGAGCGAGACTCCGTCTCAAAAAAAAAAAAAAAAAAAACAAAAAAAAACCAAAAAAAACCAAAAAAAAACCCTGAAGCCCATGAAATCTAAAGTGGGGGTGAAACAAGATCAACAAAAAACAATGACACTTCATTATATCAAGTAATTCCTGAACTCTAAGAATATTGAACTTTGAATTAATAGGGCCCTCTGCTATTTTTTCCTTTAAAACTTGTAATAGGCCAGGCATGGTGGCTCACGCCTCTAATCTCAGCACTTTGGGAGGCCGAGGCGGGCGGATCGCGAGGTCAGGAGATCGAGACCACCCTGGCTAACATGGTGAAACCCCGTCTCTACTAAAAATACAAAAAATTAGCAGGGCGTGGTGGCGGGCGCCTGTAGTCCCAGCTACTCGGGAGGCTGAGGCAGGAGAATGGCGTGAACCCAGGAGGCGGAGCTTGCAGTGAGCCGAGATCGCACCACTGCACTCCAGCCTGGGCGATAGAGCAAGACTCCGTCTCAGAAAAAAAAAAAAAAAACTTGTAATAAAAATTTAATGCAGTCAACATCAATTTTATTACCTTTTATTTTAATTTTATTTTTTTTGAGACAGAGTCTTGCTCTGTTGCCCAGGCTGGAGTGCAGTGGCACGATCTCGGCTCACTGCAAGCTCCGACTCTCGGGTTCATGCCATTCTCCTGCCTCAGCCTCCCGAGTAGCTGGGACTACAGGCGCCCGCCACCACGCCCGGTTAATTTTTTGTATTTTTAGTAGAGACAGGGTTTCATTGTGTTAGCCAGGATGGTCTCGACCTCCTGACCTTGTGATCTGCCCACCTCAGCCTCCCAAAATTGTGGGATTACAGGCGTGAGCCACTGCGCCCAGCTGTTTTTTTTTTCTTTTTGTTTTTTATACAGGGCTTCACTCCCATTCCCCAGGCTGGAGTGCAGTGGGGTGAACACGGCTCACCACAAACTCCACCTCCTGGGCTCATGAGGTTCTCCTGCCTCAGCCTCCCAAGTAGATGGGACTACAGGTGCATGCCATCACACCTGGCTAATTTTTTTTTTTTTTTGGTAGTTTTTGTAGAGACGGGGTTTTGCCATATTGCCCAGGCTGGTCTTGAATACCCAGGCTCAAAGCGATTTGCCTGCCTCAGCCTCCCAAAGTGCTGGGATTATAGGTATAAACCACTGTGCCTGGCCCTGATTTTATTACCTTCTACTGAGAACAGACAGCTGTCAGTAAAATTATGCTTGGAGAGTAACAAACAGGAGAAAGTCTTAAGTTCTCAATGACTCTGAAGAAGGCAAGGGTATAAAGAGAGAGAGAAACACAAACCAATTAAAAATCTTTATCACCTCACTCCAAAAAGATCTGCATACAAATTTGAGTAGTTTTAATATCTAATGTTTTCAAATTATCAGAAAATGTTGGCCTGCTTAACTGGTATTCTAACCACAGTCCAGTTGCTTCTGCACTGGGCTGAATTCTTAGCGCAGTCAGAGAATGCTGTTTCCAAGCCAGAGGCTCCCACAGCCCCCACTTTAGCTTTGGTGTGCGTGTGTGTATGCACAGACACCACAGTGAGCACTCCAGGGAGCCTACGGGACTCCCTCCAGCTTTGGTGTGCCTCAGTCTGCAGTCACACCACAATGAAGGCTCGCAGTTGAGGCTTTTAGGCTCACTTTCCACATTTCTGTCTAGGGCTGTGTAGAGATTTCTTGATATTTTACTTCCTTTCCCATATAAAATTTAGTGGGCATTTGTTTTTTTGTTTGTTTTTGTTTTTTTGAGATGAAGTCTTGCTCTGTTGCCCAGGCTGGAGTGCAGTGGTGCAATCTTGGCTCACTGTAACCTCCACCTCCCAGGTTCAAGCAATTCTCCTGCCTCAGCCTCCCAAGTAGCTGGGATTACAGACGTGCATCACCATGCCCAGCTAATTTTTGTATTTTTTTTAGTAGAGACAGGGTTTTGCCATGTTGGCCAGGCTGGTCTCGAACTCCTGACCTCAGGTGCTCCACCCGCCTTGGCCTCCCAAAGTGCTGGGATTACAGGCGTGAGTCACCGTGCCCGGCTGCATTTGTTAAGGAATTTTTTAAGAAAGGAAGCTTCCATAGAAAATATCAGAGAAATAAAACAAAACAAAAAAACACCTATGAATGTTTACTCTTTAAAAGGGATTGCCAAAAGACACTTGATATTGGTATAGTACTTCCTATTCAAGAGCTAGTTTAAATAGGCTCAAGAGGGACTAATTCCTTTAGAAACCACCAGTATAAAAAGTAGTGGGTTTTTTTTCTTTTTCATTTATTTATTTATTTATTTAGAGACAGGGCCTCACTGTGTTGCTCAAGCTGGAGTGCAGTGGCGCAATCATGGCTCACTCTATTTAGCCCCTTACCTTCTGGGCTCAAGCAATCCTCCCACCTCAGCCTCCCAAAGTATGCTACCATGCCTGGCTAATTTTTTTATTTTTTGGAGAGATAGGGTCTCACTATGTTGCCTAGGCTGGTCTCAAACTCCTGGGCTCAAGTGATCCTCCCACCCTGGCCTCCCAACGTGCTGGGCGTGAGTCACTGCACCTGGTCAAAAAATGAGTCTTAAGATTTCACTGGAAGATTACTTATGTAAATAATAAAGGGGGCTTATAATTTATTCTGTTACTTCCAAATCCCAGTTCAAAATTCTGGATTTTAATTCTGAGATAGTTATTTATATGTATTTTTAAACTTCTCAGTGATTTGAAGCTCATTTATATTTTTTAAAAAAGTATTTTCAGCCGGGCGCGGTGGCTCAAGCCTGTAATCCCAGCACTTTGGGAGGCCGAGAAGGGTGGATCAGGAGGTCAGATCGAGACCATCCTGGCTAACACGGTGAAACCCCGTCTCTACTAAAAAAAATACAAAAAATTAGCCGGGCGTGGTGGCGGGCGCCTGTAGTCCCAGCTACTCCGGAGGCTGAGCCAGGAGAATGGCGTGAACCTGGGAGCTGGGAGGTGGAGCTTGCAGTGAGCCGAGATCACGCCACTGCACTCCAGCCTGGGCGACAGAACGAGACTCCTTCTCAAAAAAAAAAAAAAGTATTTTCATTGAAAAATGAATTTTCTTCAATTTGTGATGTAGAAGGTATATTAATTTAAGAAGTCCAATTCTTCCTTAGCTGGCTGTGCTTCTGAGTGCTTAGTAGAGACACGATACCTTATTCTCTACTCATTCTTCCTTATCAGTGGGAGGAAGGGAATGTTCCAAGCGAACATAGGCAAGATTTAATCAGCTATGTGGCCACTAAAAGAGATGAAAGGTGACAAGTTCTTGCAATTACACAACTTCTTTCCTCTGTTGCTCATGTACTAGACAGCACAGAGAACGTGGCCTTTAGCTGGTAGCTAGTCCTCAACATACCATGGCTCACACCCTCAGCTGAGTTGAGAAGCCTGGGGGATAAACAGAAACGGCAGTGCTAGGGAAAGAACAGAACTTATGATAAGTGAAAAACCAAGAGGAAGCGGCTCTCAATTATGTCTTTTTCCTGGGAGCACAGTACATTCCCTTTGAATTCAGTTTCAATAAAACTTTTAAATAATATGCTATACTTGGAGGAAACTATGAATACACTATAATGGAAAATATGGTCTAAGACTATGGTGGAATGCATTGCATTTTATGGTCAGCACTTATTTGGCCCTGCTGATAATAACCAAATGCTCAGAAGTTCTACTGCTCTACCAAGGAAGGTCACCTGAAAAATCTGAGCTGGAGACATAACTAGAAGCAAACAGAAAAAGCAATAAATCAACAGGGTTATCAAATATTTTACAAAACCCTAGAGAAACCACATATTTAAACCAAAAGGAAGAAGATGAAAAAGATGTTTCTCACCTTTTGAAAGTTCTCCTTCCACAAATCTTCTATGACTATATATCCTCGTAAACCCCAGTCATATAATCTCTCCCCACTGACCTTGAAACAAAATAGAAAAGATCTTACCATTTGACCCAGCAATCCCTACTATTGGGAATAATAATGGAATGATGGAATATAAATCATTTTACTATAAAGATATATGCATGCATATGTTCATCATAGCAGTATGCATAATAGCAAAACATGGAATCAACCTAAATGCCCATCAATGGTAGATTTTTTTTTTTTTTTTTTGAGATGGAGTTTTCGCTCATTGCCCAGGCTGGAGTGGAATGGCGCAATCTTGGCTCACTGCAACCTCTGCCTCCTGGGTTCAAGCAATTCTCCTGCCTCAGCCTCCCAAGTAGCTGGGATTACAGGCACCCGCCACCACACCCAGCTAATTTTTTGTACTTAGTAGAGACAGGGTTTCACCACATTGGTCAGCATGGTCTCGAACTCCTGGCTTCAGGTGATCCACCTGCCTCAGCCTCCCAAAGTGCTGGGATTACAGGTGTGTGTCACCATGCCCGGCCAATGGTAGACTTGATAAAGAAAATGTGGTACTTATACACCACAAAATACTATGCAGCCAAAAAGAATGAGCTCATGTCCTTTGCAGGGACAGGGATGGAGCTGGGGGCCATTATCTTAAGTGAACTAACATAGGAACAGAAAATGAAATACCACATGTTCTTACTTGTAAGTGGAAAATTAACCTTGACAACAAATGGACACAAAGAAGGGAACAGAGACCAAGGCCTACTTGAGGGTGGAGGGTGAGAAGAGGGCGAGGATCAAAAAACTACCCATCAGGTACTAGTCTAATTACCCAGGTAACAAAATAATCTGTACACCCAACCCTCATGACACACAACTTACAATAACAAACCTGCACATGTACCCCTAAAGCTAAAAGTTAAAATAGAAAGAAATTTAAAAAAAAAAAAAAAAAAAGACTCCTACTCTGGAGACAGCCACATAGGCTTCTCAACCAGCAACCAAGTTCACCCTCTCCACTCCAGCCATTTACTGCTTAAATCATAACAGGCTGAAATAATGTTTCATTATTTTTATATCTAGGGCTGGAAGATGTTACTCACTGTTCCTGACCTGGGGCTGGAGCAGGGACAGAAGCATTAACTATCTGCCTCCAGGACTGTTACAAACAATGTTGAGCAAATGCTGGAAAGTATTGGTATTTGTCACCAAAGCCATCAAGCTCCCTGAGCTGGGGCCACTGGACTCCCACATACAACCGTAGCCCACTTTAGGCATCTGGACTCAATTCTGTCATGAACAACCAAGGGAGCGCAGTCTCAGGTCAGTCTGGCTCAGAGTCCAATTCGGGTGACTGCACTGCTGTCTGCTCCTGGAACTGAGTTTCCGTGTGATGTGGTAGTTCGAGCAACTAAAGTCCCTGTGTCCACAATCTGCCCAGGACCTCAAAACCTAGAGCCTGCCTTGCTCTTACCAGTTTCTGAGGGACACCATCTCTAGCGTTCCACTAACTCCAGGTATCACCCTTTTCAGACTACCTACTGGTCTCCATCAGTGGTTCTCAAACAACATAGGCATTAATAACAAACCACCGGAGGGCTTGCTAAAACACAGACTGCTGGCCCTTATTCCCAGAGCTTCTGATTCAGCCAGTCTGGGGTGGGGCCTGACAGTTTGCATTTCTAACAAGTTCTCAGGTGATGCTGCTGCTTCTGGTCTGGTAATGCACTTTGAGAATCGGTGGTACAACTTTATCCATGTTGCCTGCCACTGTGATCGACCTGCCTGCCAGGGTACCATAAGACTGAGGCTTCAAGGGTAAGAAAGGAGCAGTCAATTGAAAGCCCCGAAAAGGGCACTCCCAGCAGAGGGGATTACAGTCCCCAAAGTCCTCAGCAAGGAAAGCAAGGGCACCAGCACCAGGGAGTAGAGGAGGTCCGAGCAGTCTGTGTCTACAATACCAACAAGAGCAGGTTGTGACTGGACACGCATAAACTGAGTGACCCATAATTACCAGCTTTGGAATTTGAGTCTGTAGACTTTCATGTAAGTATACAAAAAATTTATCTTAAATTTTTGCTGATGAATATTCAAACAATCATGCAAATTCGTGTTCAAATTCTGTGAACACTGGCATTACTGGAAGAAGGACCAGAACTGAGACATATAGTGGAGAAAATAATTTAAATTTGCTGTATTCACCTATATGTACAAACAAATTTTAGTCTGGTGTTATAAGAACTGCAAAATAAAATAAAATTAAGCGTCAGATTCATACACACACAAACAAGAATGAGGGACATCAGGGATTACAGAGTTTCTCTTACCTGGGCAAACACGATGGCTTGTTGTGGATAATAGAGGGAGGCAGCTAATCCCATGAAACCAGGCGGATACACTAGCTTCTTTATTTTTGAACCTAATAAATAAAAGGTTGTACACGCCATCAGATGATTCATTATCCTCACCATCACAATTTACCTTATCCATTTAACACGGAACGAGGCCAGGCACAGTGGCTCACGCCTGTAATCCAAAAGCTTTGGGAGGCCAAGGCAGGAGGATCACTTGAGGCCAGGAGTGTGACACCAGCCTGGGCAACATAGTCAGATCCTGTATCTACAAAAGTTAAAATAAAAAAATTAGCCAGGCGTGGTAGTGTGTGCCTATAGTCCTAACTACTTGGGAGGCTGAGGTGGGAGGATTCCTTGAGCCCAGGAGTTCGAAGTTACAATGAGCTATGATCACACTCTGCACTCCAGCCTGGGTGACAGAGCAAGACCGTGTCTCTTAAGAAACCCAAACAACAAAACCAAAATAACCCCACCAATGAATAAGATTTCTTTGGTCCTAAACTGAAAGAATGTGCCAAATAAAGTCGTGTGCACCAAAACGCTTTTCCACAGCTTTATTGAGATAAAATTCACATTCACCCATTTAAAGTACAGTTCAATGGCTTTTAGTATATTGACAGAGGTTTGTAACCATCATTACAATTAATTTTACAGCTTTTTCATAAATCACCAAAAGAAACCCATTAGCAGTCACTCCTCAACTCCCCTGTACTGTCCAGCCCTAGGCAACCACTGATCTACTTTCTATCTCTTTATGTTTGCCTACTCTGGATATTTCTTTCTTTCTTTCTTTTTTTTTTTTTTTTTTTGAGAGTTTTGCTCTTGTCACCCAGGCTGTAGTGCAATGGTGCAATCTTGGCTCACTGCAACCTCTGCCTCTTGGGTTCAGGCAATTCTCCTACCTCAGCCTCTCGAGTAGCTGGGGCTACAGGCACACACCACCACGCCCTGCTAATTTTGTATTTTTAGTAGAGATGGGGTTTCGCCATGTTGGCCAGGCTGGTCTCGAACTCCTGACCTCAGGTGATCCACCCGCCACAGCCTCCCAAAGTGCTGAGATTACAGGTGTAAGCCACTGCGCCCGGCCCTCTGGATATTTCATATAAATGGAATCATGCAGTAAATATATGGTCCTTTGTGACTGGCTTCTTTCACTCAGCACCAAGTATTTTCAAGAGAACACCTTTTTTTCCCTAAGAGAGCAGAAAAAAAGATCGTTTTAAAAACAAACAAATGAGTATTTTGGTTTCTAGGGTTTATGTTCTTTTACAGCAGTCTGGCTTCCTATTTAAATATTAAACACAAGCGTTCCTCTTCTCCCCTTTCTGCAACCCTGTTAAAAAAACAGTAAGAAAAAACATTAATAAGCCAGGCGTGGTGGCTCACACCTGTAATCCCAGCACTTTGGGAGGCCGAGGTGGGTAGATCACAAGGTCAGGAGATCAAGACCATCCTGGCTAACATGGTGAAACCCTGTCTCTACTAAAAAAAATACAAAAAAAATTAGCTGGGCGTGGTGGTGGGCACCTGTAGTCCCAGCTACTTGGGAGGCTGAGGCAGGAGAATGGCGTGAACCCAGGAGGCGGAGCTTGCAGTGAGCAGAGACCATGGGCCACTGCACTCCAGCCTGGGTGGCAGAGCAAGACTCCATCTCAAAAAAAAAAAAAAAAGGAAAAAACATTAATAAATCCACTATGAAGAGAAAATGTGTGGAGGGGCCACTGGCAGACAGGAAGTGTCAATCAATTTTCAGAAAATGGAGAGTGAATGGAAATAAGAGGACACACTGCCTTGAAATCTTGAAATCTTGAGGAGGAGTGCGGCCTCAGAGGGAGTGGATCTGTCCCAGGCAGCCCCAGGGAGATGCCAGATCCAGAGACGGCAGGTACTGTGGGGAGTGGAGATGGCAACCAGGGGGCAAGACAGGGGGACAGGACAAATGCAAGTCTGATGCAGGGACCAGCACGGCCCTTGCTTCCCCTATGCCATCCCAGTACAAAACTACCCCTGGCCAGGAAGTCACACCAGGTCAAAATGTTAAAAAGGGGCAGGGTTACTGGACACGGTGGCTCACATCTGTAATCCTAGCACTTTGGGAGGTCAAGGCATAAGGATTGCTTGAGGCCAGGAATTGAGACCAGCTGGAGTAACATAGCGAGACTCCGTCTCCATTTCTTTTCTGTTGAGAGAGGGTCTCACTTGGTCTCCCAGGCTGGAATGAAGTGACACAATCGTGGCTCACTGCAGCCTCGACCTCCCAGGTTCAAACTATCTTCCTGCCTCAGTCCCTCAAGTAGGTGGGACTAGAGGTGCAAGCCATCATGCCTGGTTAATTTTTTTTTTTTTTGTAGTTTTTGTAGATACGGGGTTTCCTCACATTGCCCAGGCTGGTCTTGAACTCCTGAGCTCAAGCAATCCACCTGCCTCAGCCTCCCAAAGTGCTGGGATTACAGGCGTGAGCCAGTATGCCTAGCCCCCTATCTCTATTTCTTAAAAAAAAAAAAAAAAAAAAAAAAGTGAGCCAGATGCAGTGGCTCACACCTGCAATCCCAGCACTTTGGGAGGCTGAGGTGGGAGGACTGACTGAGCCTAAGAGTTTGAGACGAGCCTGGGCAACTTAGGGAGACCACATCTCTACAAAAATTAAAAAATTATCAGGTGTGGTGGCATGGGCCTGTGGTCCTAGTTTCTCAGGAGATTGAGGCAGGAGGATTGCTTGAGACCAGGAGTTCAAGGCTGCTGTGAGCAGTGTCTATGCCACTGCACTCTAGACTGGGTAATAATTTGGATGTTGTTCCCTCTGAATCTCATATTAAACTGTAATCCCCAATGTTGGAGGTGGGGCCTGGTGGGACCTGACTGGATCATGAAGGTGGATTTCTCACAGATGGTTTAATACCATTCCCTTGGTGCTGTCCATGTGCAACAGTGAGTTCTCTTGAGATCTGGTTGTTTAAAAATGTGTGACACCTCCCCCACCTCTTTCTCTTGGTTGCACTCTTGCCATGTGAGATACCAGCTCCCCCTTTGCCTTCCACCATGATTGTAAGCAGCGCAAGGCCTCACCAGAAGCCGAGGAGATGCTGGTGCCAGGCTTCCTGTACAGCCTGCAGAACTGTGAGCCAAATAAACCTCTTTTCTTTATAAATTACCCAGTGTTAGGTTATAGCAATGCAAGAATGGCTTAACACACTGGGTGGCAAAGCAAGATCCTGTCTCAAAAAAAAAAAAAAAAGAGTTAAAACAGTAGGGGCAGGGTATCACTAAAGAAACACCACGGATTTCCTGCTGAGAACCAAGAGAGCTGGAAGGGGTGAGTATGTCAGTGCCTGAGAGTAAAGCCCTCCTCACACTGGCACCCTCGTATATGGTCACTTCCTGTCCAGCTCCCCTGAGGTAGAACCTGCCTGTCAGTGGGTCCCATGTATGGACAGGGAGTTCTTTTTTTTTTTTTTTTTTTTTGAGATGAAGTCTCACTCTGTTGCCCAGGCTGGAGTGCAGTGGCGCCATCTCAGCTCACTGCAACCTCCACCTCCTGGGTTCAAGCGATTCTCCAGCCTCAGCCTCCTGAGTAGCTGGGATTACAGACACCCTCCACCACACCTGGCTATTTTTTGTATTTTTAGTAGAGATGGGGTTTTGCCACATTGGCCAGGCTGGTCTTGAACTCCTGACCTCAGATGATACTCCCGCCTCAGCCTCCCAAAGTGCTGGGATTACAGGTGAGAGTTCTTATTAGCATTTCAGCTGCCTCACTTTGAAACATGACTGGATAACCCAGAATCACCAGTCATTTGTGGAAAGCCTGAAGCATAAAGGAGAAAGACCAAGACAAGCCCAAAGAAAAAAAAAAAAAAAGACCCCACAGGAAACAGAATTTCAAAACAAAAATAAACCTATTACTAAGTATCATCAAATAAATTTTAAAAGCCACTACATTAAAATAAAAAAGAATTCTATGAAAAAAAGAACATTCAAAGAATAGGAAGGAGCTCTTGGAAATGACCAAAGCAAAAAAAAATTCAAAAGGAACAAAAGTAATCAAGAAAATATAAGAGACGCATAGGGTCCTTTTAAATAACCCAATTGCTAATTAATGAGTTGAGGAAGGAAAAAGAATGAGAGTAAATTTTCAAAGATACACAAGATAGGCTGGGTGTAGTGGCTCATGCCTGTAATCCTAGCACTTTGGGAGGCTGAGGAAGGAAGACTACTTGAGCTCAGGAGTTTGAGACCAGCCTGGGCAACATGGTGACACCTGGTCTCCACAAAAAATACAAAAATTAGGTGTGGTGGTGCACACCTATAGTCACAGCTACTCAGGAGGCTGACATGGGAGGACTGCTTGAGCCTGGGGAGGTCAAGACTGCAGTGATCCTTGATCATGCCACTGCACTACAACCTGGGTGACAGAGTGAGACCATCTCTCGGGAAGGGGAAGGGAAAAGGAAAGGGAAGGGAAGGATAGAAAGAAGGAGGGAGGGAGGGAGGAAAATAAGATACTTTCCTTCAGCTGGATGCTGCAAGCCACCATATTGTTTAAGCAAGAATGAAAACACCTATATCCAAGGCCGGGCATGGTGGCTCATGCCTGTAATCCCAGCACTTTGGGAGGCTGACGCGGGTGGATCACTGGAGGTCAGGAGTTCAAGACCAGCCTGGCCAACGTGGTGAAATCCCGTGTCTACTAAAAACACAAAAATTGGCCGGGCGCGGTGGCTCAAGCCTGTAATCCCAGCACTTTGGGAGGCCGAGACAGGCGGATCACTAGGTCAGGAGATCGAGACCATCCTGGCTAACACGGTGAAACCCCGTCTCTACTAAAAAATACAAAAAACTAGCCGGGCGAGGTGGCGGGCGCCTGTAGTCCCAGCTACTTGGGAGGCTGAGCCAGGAGAATGGCGTGAACCCGGGGGTGGAGCTTGCAGTGAGCTGAGATCTGGCCACTGCACTCCAGCCTGGGCAACAGAGCGAGACTCCGTCTCAAAAAAAAAAACAAAAAAAAAAAACAAAAAAAAAAACACAAAAATTAGCCAGGCGTGGTGGTGCATGCCTGTAATCCCAG